CGAAACCCCCTAATCACTGGACTACTTGATACGTCGGATCAGATCCGCAGGTTGAAGAGACACTACCCGCTAGACCTAAACGCTAGATTCAATTGGTTATCTAAATTAAATAATATTTACTTATTTATAATACTTACTTATAAATTATACTTATCTATAATAAGTATTAAATTATTATAAATTATTACTGTAGTAACTGATGGATTCTTAGATTAAGGACAAGTGATGATGGTAGAGTTTAAAGTTTAATGTATTTTAAGAAGTGATATTCAAATACAAGAGGACCGACTACAATAACGTCGCACGTCGATGCACACTCCGTGTCCGCTCAACTCGCACTCCGCTTCTCAACTGCCTCTCTGGCCGTTGCAGCATTCTTGTGTCTTTTGCTAGGCCCACCGCACACGTGTTCCGCAGACGCTCGTAGCCAGAGTCACGTAAGTCTTTTCGGCGAAGCTATTTATTTGAAGGACCCGATGACGCATTGATGGAACCCACAGCGCCTCGGCTCTCGCGACATTGTCTATAGTTGGCTCGACGTTTCTTCTTAGGCCCTTCTCCCCGATACTACATTACTGAAAATTCTCAATGCGAGAATTTATTGTAAATTTTAATAAATAAAAAAAAATATTTCATTTGTTATCTTAACTTTTATTACGTTTTCCGTTATCATTTGGAAACTTCATTGAATTATTTGAAAAAGTATAAAGTCTTTCAATAGTATAATCTTATAGTATAATAGTATAATCTAGCTTAGAAAGATAGCTAATCTTTTTCGATTTTCAAAGCAAATAAGTACTTAAAAGCACGCAAAATATAGTTCAAAGTAAACATAATGCATATATTCCTAGAGGATTTTAATTTTTTTAATTCTTCAGCTGAAGATTTACTCTTCTACTAGATGTAATTTATAAAATTGATGGTTTATGAATGTTAAAGTAATAATATATAACGTTTTATTAAATATATGTCGGAGATGAAAGAACACCGGAGCTTTTGGAATTTTGGATAATCCCGCAACATTGTAACCTAGAGTCTACTATAGCTGTAATTGAACAATTGTAGTTATTCAATCCGATTGTAATTGTTCGAGAGTAGTGATAATGAGCTTGGGCTCGAGGCGACAGTCAGTCGCCGAACGTAGCCGCGGTCACGGGATGAACGCTTTGTCTAACAAAGGCATGGAATAATTCTATAGCTCTTCTTAAAAAGGAAATAGTTGTAATACTCGACAGTAAACATTCCAACGGTCTCTGTCCCGTAGCTCGCCACA